TAATGATGTCATTAGGTCAGATTGAGTTAGACCTATCGGACTGTGCCATCTAGAGTTTCATGCCAGAACTATATATATATATATATATATATATATATATAATAAAAAAATTAATTATGTGGAAACAGTATCTTCTCTCTAGGCCTCATGGGATAGTAAAATTCCCATCATATGCACATTTCTGAATTTTGCTAAAAATTGTACTTTTTTGCCTACTGTTTTATGAATACTGTGAGTTTGGACATACCACTATATTTCACATATTTTTCGCCGACTATATAGTAAGGAAATATGCATATTTGGACAATATTATGCTACAATTATCAAATGACATTTATTTAATTGGTGTCCAGTTCTCATCCCATTATTAACTGTTGTTTTGTATAAAAACATCGCCATTCTGATCAAATAATGAGCCACAAAAGGAACTGTGGTTGATGCGTTTCTTCTGTTTCATTCATCCCACTTGAATTAAAAGTTCAGATTTAACACATTGCATTGTGGGATACAGTATCTGACCCAGTGTGCTCTGTATACACGACATTTTGGCAAGCCAAGTGTTGGTCACTGGGGAATTTCATGCTTACAGAAACGTTCTTGTTTTAGAAATGGTAGATAATGTGCCAACAGGCCATTTCTCCCCATTTTCACACACTTTAATTTTGTCTCTCAATCACGTTTCTCTTCTTGCTGTCTCGCTGAATCCATGTTTTCATTTTCTTCTGTTGTCTTCAGTGATTTTTTTTCCTCACCCGAGCATGCAGTTTCAGATCAATTCCCAGTTCTATGTGGTAAATGTCCGCATTACTGTCAGATTTAATGCATTGAAAAGCGCTGACCTGCGTGAAACACCACCCACCTGGAAACAAACTCGCTTTTCATTGAAGTTTGTCCAAGATAAAAACCTATTAAAGGTTATCCACTTGCTCTCAATATTTCCATGGCTTAGACGAGAGGCCTTTGAACACATTACCCGTAACCGTCCTCAGATTTCCACTCTAATTTTACCATTTTGTGAGCTGCTTTCTTTAATCTTGATGTGCAATTTAAACTGGTTTTAAATCTTAAACGACTTATATGGTTAATGAGCCTTGCTGCTAATTGTACTGTTGAATTTACATTTGCACTGCAGCTAAAATGGTCCATGTTGTGATAATTGATGCACTTGCATACCTGTACACTTGAGCAAACCTGTGCATGTGCACGCTGCTATTCTGAGTCGGGCATCAATCTGAGCCGGAGGAATGTTTGTTAGCTCAGCGATTACACTGAAGAAGTTGCCGTCTCAGGAGGTGTTTAAAATGGATTTCTGGGTCACCACAACAAGCCCGAGCCAAACAAGGCTTCTCTGTGGAGAGGAAAAAAAGAAAACATTTTTCATAAACTCATTGTGGAATGCATGTTGGAGGAGAGGGTGGAATGAAGGGCTGTGTGTCTGTGTGTTATCCGACAAATGCTAATATTTATCCGTAGTGTATATTTTTAAGCCATGATTTGAATTAAGAACGTGCATACTGTTTACATACTGTATGCACACTAGTATATTTTTCTGTAAGTACTGTAATTGATCAAAAGGTTGCTGGTGTAACCCTACACTGTATACTATTCATGCATTTTAGACTAGGAATTTTGCATTTGTACTACATTTTAGGCAATATGATAAAACAGTAAGTCAAGATGATGTTAATCATGGTTAATATGTATCATGATTTAATTACATCAGAAATTGACAGCCTAGCACATTGCATTCTGGGACGTCCTATGCAATGTGCCCTGTTTGTATTCTGCACGTTTTAGCATATGTAGTATGTTGAGTGCATTGCATTTATAATATAGGATATAGTATCCTATGCAGTGTGTTCTAGTTGTGTGGGATTCAATATCCCACAATACATTGCGTTCAATATACTACAAAATCTGGGAAATTGTGTTTTTGTATACTATACTATACTGCACATTTTGATGTAGTATGTTGAGCACATTACATTACAGTATATTGTATATTCACATTTTGACCTACAGAAAAATTGCATACTATGTACAAAATGCATACTGTTTGCTAATTCATTGCTTTTCTGAATGCGCTGTCAAAAAATGGCCCATGTTAAATATTTCTTTTGTCTTTCTGTTGTGCACAGACTTCCAGACGCCTGGGTCAGCGAGAGCGACCATCCCCAGCTGAAGACCAAAGTGGTCCACCTCTCCCAGCTTCCTCAAGACACGGCGGTTCTATTGGACCCCAACATCTACAGGTGATCTACTCTAGCAGCTCACTCAAACTTTACCCGTAGCGTTCAGAGTGCAGGAGCCATCGACTTCCATGTTCGGGCCACGTGTTTTGAAGTTCTCAACGGGAGCCACTGCTTTCCTGTTAAAGACTCTTTATGAATTTCTCCAGCAGATGGCGCTGGTGTTACTGCAACCAGAACCGGCCTCTCCCCAAACCCAAACATACGCTTTAAAACTCAGGGGGGACGTGGGTGGGAGATCAATAACCTTTGATACGAGAGAAGACGTTAATTAATCATAAAGCTGATGATACAATCCGCCCGGGTCAAAGATACTTTAAAGTCACCCATTTGACCTCCTCCCACAGACATAAACGACGATTCCAGGATTGTTTCCCTCGTTAGAGCCGCTATTAATCGATAGTAATACATCAGTTCTTTGCAGTAGGAGTTTGTTTACCCAGACTCTCGCACTGGTGTGGAATGTGATGCTTTCTGAGCATGTGGTCAGAATACTTTGTGGGCGGAAGCGCATGTATTCATGCATGTTAATGACAGCATGGATGTCTTCAGCTCCCCACGCAGCGGTAAATAACAGGACAGATGCCCGTCATCTTCAGGAGCCTGGTGTGCTCTGATGAGCATCTTTATGCATCGTTTTGCCGTTTGCGGTACAGAAATGCAATTAGAAATGACGTGGTTGGTTCTTGTTCGTGTGTGTGTGTGTGTGTGTGTGTGTACGCATCGTACTAAAGCAGGTTGTGCTTGTTTTCAGGATGTTTTTCTAGAAGACTGGGTGGGGAGGGTGGCTTCTGTCAGCGCCTGCTGACGTACCCAAACCGAAGTGGATGTGCGGATCTTTTGAGACGGGACTTCTTTTCCCTTTGCTTTTTTCCCCTCCACTTTCTCCTTTTTTTTCTTTTTAATGCTCCGAGTCTGCCAAAGCATGCAGTGAATTTTTAATGTGTGTTTTTATCCCTTGAAGAGGAAAAAAAGGCACAAAATTGTGAACTCTGTCGGTGCTGGACTTTTAACTGTCTGGGAGGATGTGTTGTACACCACGGTTTTGATTTTCCTTCCCTGCGTCCTCAACTCTGCTGATTATCTTTTGCTTTTTTCGTCAAGAAAGTGCCCATGTAAATATTCCAGGAGATTTGTAATATATTTTTGTAATGCGGAGATTTTACTGTACTGTAGATAGATGTAATAAGCCACAAGCTGACAGAAAACATAATTGTACAGATTGTGATAGCTAATAGTTTTGGATGTAAATGCTTCCATAGATGGTTTTGCTGCCTTTTTTTTAGTATGAGAATTTTTTTTTCCTGAACATGCGCACAGACTCTTATAACTGCTGCTCCACCTACTGATGATGATGATGGGATGTTATTGTCCTCCCGCATGAGCCGTTTGTGTGTTCTGCTCAAGCCAAGGAGTGTATAGACATCTCAACGTAATGGTGCTAAAGCTAACACTAGCGCTCAGGCTAATGCACATAGGAGAACTATAGGATCAATAATGATGGTGCTTCTTAGATCATGTACTTAATAATCCCCTGTTCCCCATACTTATAGATCATACTTCTGTCTTTGTAGTAAAGTTGAAAATTATATATATTTTTGTTTGCTTGTTTGTTTGATTCCAGCCCATATAAACCTTGTGTTTCTCACACAGGACTGTTGTTTATTAGCAGTGAGGAGGCCAGGGGCATCTGGGAGTCGTTTTATTGGGGCATATTTGCAAGCGTTGACGTGGAGGCCGTCTGCCAGGACCTTTAGCTCAGCGTCAGACCATGCACATGCCGTCCCAATAGGACTTGCTGGTTTAGTAGACGCCTGACCGTGTGTTTTTTTTAGTTTATTCTCTCATTCTCATCTATTGTCGCACTCGGTTTGGGTTTTCAATCATGCTAAATTATCTCACATCTTTATTCAGGGTTTCTGCAGGTCTTAAAGTTGTCCTTCCACAAAATGAGGCCTTAAATATGCTTTAAGGGTTTCAATGTTTTTTGTTTTTCAATATGAATATCTAAACTTCCTTTCAACACATTTACCTGAGATGCAAAATGACATTAGAAGTCTTGTTTTCTGAGAAACTGAACAGAATTAACAGCGCTTAAAACAACTACAAAATACCTGCCAAAAATTGTTTTTCACTTTTGAATTAAGTGGATTATTCTGAGCCCATTGGCAGATATTTGTTTTTGTTTTAATCATAAACTTATGTAGATTTGTTGGAAGTTGTATTTTCAAACCTTGAAATATTGCTAATACAACTCATTGTGACATTTTCGGTCAAAGACAAGACGTCTCATGTTGGTGTCCATGTCAAATTAAATGTGCAAAGTGACTTTATATACATATAAAGCATATTAAAAGTAAGTGTCTACTTTAATGCTTTAAATAACTTTGAAAATAAAATGACAAAATAAGGGTGAAATAATGTTCCATTGTCATTCAGCATAACAGATATATTTATGTATTTATATTTTATTTAAAAATGAAACAACATGTACTTATTAATATATATAAAAGAAAAAGTGGTCATACTAAATTTTATGTTTTAAATTATTAAAAATTCTTGCTGGCAAATGGGTAAAACCTAGTGGTTTGAACGATGGTGGCAAAGATTGGTAGAGACTTAAAATGACTTCCTTTTTGGGGGCTGCAATAGACGTGTAACATAATCTAATGATTATTGTAAATATGCCTGACAATATATTTTGGTATATAAACTATTGTTATGCTAAATTACATTTTAGTGGCTGTCTTCTGTCAATTATGGCAAAAATGTGTGATAGTCATTTTTTTCTTTAAAAAAAATAAATAAAAATAAACGACACTTTCTAATGTATGGAAAAAAATTAAAGCTGCATTAAACTTTTGTTGTTTTGATGTTTGAAAACCCCTTTTCGTCTTTGATCCATTTACATTTAGAGAGCATATTGATGTATTGTGTTCCCTTCATATTCCCTTTACTTCGTCTTAAAGTCTTAAATCTACCTTCATAAACCTGCAGAAATCCTGTTATTAGTGTCGAGTTATTGGTGTACAGTGTTTTGTTTCTTGCACAAACGCATTGGATTCGTGCTGCATTTTTTAGTGTTCATGTAACGGTGTAGTTGTAGTCAGCTTTCTCATCCAATATAATCAAATGTGTAGATCGTATTTGAGTCTGTGCTTGACTTTCCAAATGAGTTTTTATAGTCTAACGTACCACTGAGTAACAAGCGTGTCTTAACTGCGAGTAATACACAGCAGCTGCGGTCTGTCAGAGCGCGTACAATGGGACTGTTTGTCCTAAAGAAACTATATAATCAGAGCTGCACACGACTCCTGTGCTTTATATTATTTATTTATTCTTTAGGAGAAATTGCTGAAAATACACCCTGCCCTAAATGTGCTAAACCACTAAGAGAATTAAGGTGAAATCTTAAATAAATAAAATATATAAATATTGCTTAAGGGGAAGTGTGTAATGTATGCACCATATAATAACCCAAGTAGGAAGTAAAAAAAATAAAAATGTTTGCTGTTAATGACGATTCATTTTCATGAAAGACCAAAATTTATAACACAAAGGTGTGTTGGCCATCTTCTCTTGCAGAATGTTATAGATATTTTAAAATGAATTTGAAGTTTTAAGATGCTATTTTGGTGTCACAATTTGGTAAAACACTGGGGAAGGAAGGTTTTAGCATCATTTGAAGTACTATTATCATTTGTATTAATATTTTTAATGCTTTTTACAGTTTTATTAATTTGGCTGTGTTGTCATTTTTAGTCTTTTCATTTATATAATTTATTTTGTTTGTGTATATATATATATATACAGTGGGTACGGAAAGTATTCAGACCCCCTTAAATTTTTCACTCTTTGTTATATTGCAGCCATTTGCTAAAATCATTTAA